ACAGGGGGACTTGAGCTCGTAGGCTCGAGCTGGGAGAAGGGGTTAAGAGGGGTTCCTATAGATGACCGAAAATGGCACTCTCAGACTGTGACAGACATGTATTGGCTTGGTGTGGGCCTATTTTTATATGTTTTATGGTCTGAATGCCCGACGAGCTCTGTCAGGCGGGGGGGGGGGGTTGCTTGACCTGTCCGGTGGGGCTTAAGTCCCCCTCCCGCCACCCCGCTGGCGCCGCCACTGGCTTATATTATCGCACTGGCAGTTCTTAATATGTTGCAACATTTGAGAAGGTAGGAACAACCTTTTACTGTCTATCTGATTCTAAAGCATTTTTCATTTTAAAACCATTGGATTTAGGGGAGGGGGAGCCAGCCCGGCCCCCCCCCCTCCCCCCCCCCCCCTTGAGGTAAAAGAAAGAAAAAAACGAGAGCCCAGGGACACCCAAAATGTTATTTTTGGGCATCTGGAACGCAAAAATTTTGCGGGGGCATACCCCTGGACCCCTAGGACAGTATTGTCTCGATTAGCCCAACTTTCGGCCCCTCTTCCGCCCCTTTTGGACATCTCTGGATCCGCCCCTGCCTGTAGTTGTAAATTCAAAATTATTAAGAAGGCTTATACCATCCCACTTGCAGTTCTTCATATGTTGCAACATTTGAGAAGGTAGGAACAACTTTTTACTGTCTATCTGATTCTAAAGCATGTTTCATTTTAAAACCATCTTCAATGACATAAACTTTGTTTGCATAAATTTGCTCATTTACCCTCGTATTTTCAGCAATTTCTTTTGTTGCAAGTAAGTGTAGTTGTACAGTGGTAGCAGCCAGCATTGTTGCGTCTTAAATATACAGATGTAAGCACACTCTTTAGCCATGAAACTACATCTTTCATTATCGCTGTTCTGGGCTTGTGTTTGGAACACCGCAATTCAACAAAAATGTGCCAAGATACTCATTTTCCAGAAATCTGCTCGAGATTCTCTGAATGTTCTAATCGGACCACCGTCTGGGACAAAGGGCTTCTTGTCGGGCGAATCCTGGCACCACCCCTACCATGACCACATAATATTAGGTTTATATTTTTTCACGATAATTCCTGACAAGAAGGGGTAGGGGTGTTGCATGATGTGGTTAGGGAGGAGATGGTGTTATTCAGGGACTGGTATTCCCAGGCAGGTTAAGGTGCTGTGTCCAACTGGTGACACCACTGACAGAAATTGGTATGTATAAAGTGAAATTATTATAAACTCACCTTAAAAGGGTTTAAAATACCGCTAAAACAGAAAAATGACAACATTGATACCACAAACATTGTTTTTTTTTTTATTTTTATAGAAAAACATTTATTATTGTTGTAATCAAAGGAATCTATGTATATATCAGCGGAAAATACTGGTAAATTTTACTATTATTTTTTTTTAATGAAAAATGCCAGTTTTTCTGGCAACACTACTCGTACGTTTTTTAATTACCCACATTTTTAAAACTGGAATTCTCTAAGGCAGCATTAGAACTACCTATTTGTAGAAAATCAGTTCTAAAAAAGCACCACTTTGACGTTTATGAGCAATTAAAGTTTGGACGTTTTTCATAATTTGAAAAAAAACCCCGAAAAACACCGCCTTTTAAAAACATGGTATCTTCCAACTACGAAATCCAAAAAAACATTTAAAAATATGCATATATATAACAGATACCCAATGTATTGACCTTATACACACACTCATTATTTTTGATAAATAAACCATAAGGATATCAGAAATATTGTATCAAATTATTACTAATATTAACATTTAAAAACAGCCAAAAAATGACAAAAATTGCCAAAAATACAAATTTACCCGTTGCCATGGAAATATAAGCACAAAGTGCATAAAACTTTATATTTGATTTCTCTTAATAAAGGTATAGCCATGTGCAAAATTTGAAAGAAATCCATTTTTTTGAGTCCGCACTATTTTTGAAATTTCTTTGATTTTTATAGACAACTGCTCTTAATATTCTAAACCAGTGGCGGATCCAATAATTCGAAATAGAGGGGGCCCCAGAGTGGAACTTTCACAGATGGTGAGTATAAAATCCCAAAAGTCGTTTTTTGCTAACAAATAGTTTACAAAAATTATGCCTATTCTAGTTAATTTAAGGTACCGATTTTGCCATAATATAGGCTGGAGCGGATGTGGGATTTGGCGGTGGGGTGCGTGCAAGGGCGCAGATCTGTTTTGAATCCACCGTGGTTGAGACGCAAAAAATAATAATTGGAGAAACAGTACTGTACCTGTAGATGCCCGGAGATGATACTTCTGTTATAGTAGAATTCATCATCATCATCCCATCACCAATTCACATGGTCGTATCGGTGATTTTCGGCAGTCACAGAGATGTAATTAATAATATGAGTGATGTACCATTATTAGGCCTACCATAGAAAATAAAACTAAAGAAACACTTTCGTTGGTGTATTTAAAGATGTATTGTCCCATGCTAAATACCAAAAACATCATAAAAATATTTTTTGAAATTAACTTGCCCATTTTGAAGTAACATAAAAGTTATCAACTTGAACTTATAAATTAATGTATTTAAAAAATGTCTACTCATCAGTTTGCAGCGAAAAATGATAGAAGTCACTGGAAGTGTTTTATTATTTTTATTATAATTTTTTTGGTTTAAAAATCAGAGTACACATTTTTTAAATTCAATAATTTTTTATGCACAAGTTAATAATTTTATGCTATTGCAATATGATTAAGTTTATTTCAAAATTATTTTTTATGATTTTTTGACATTAGCAAGGGACAATACATCTTTAATTTACTTGACCTACCTCAAAGCCATGAGGCCAAATCCACCTCAGCTCCCACCATGGTTGGGGCTGAGGTGAATTGTGAAAAGTATTTTTCTTAATAGGCCCTACAATTTAAGGGGTTGCGATCGCACCTCTGCACCCTCACCCTCCCCCGCGCATCCGTTCCAATAAGGAGCCACGTACGGTCTTAGTTATGCGAACCTGTAAGTACATACAGTTCAAGAATAGATGTCCATATTTATTATAATACATGATTCATTTATTGCACCATGAATAGGACCATTCTCTTACAATATTAATAAAATAAAACGAGTGGATATTGAAACACGACTAACCATAATAATATATATTAAATCCTCTAGCTTTCGTCCAATCAGTGGACTTCTTCAGTAGTGTGAACTTTTGAAAAAGTCCACTTGTTTGAATATCAATTCATGGTTAGTCCTTTGTCCTGATTATTTATGCCACTAATAGTTATAAAGTTTTGTTTTTCCTTATATTGTACACAGAATTTCGTTTAGCTCTTACAGGTAACCTAAAAATAGATTAAGGTTAAGTTTCATCCATCCATAATTTGTTACGAGACCATTGACTCACTACAATTAACTGTTTACCAATTAGTTATTTATGTATTAACGAAATCCATACTTTAATATTAACAGGATGTTCTAGCTACACAGTAGTAAGACTTTAATAACCACACACATGTGGACAAATTTCCTCAATTGTCTACTGAATTGGATTTGTACTGTTTATTAGTGTAATTATTTAATTTTTTTATTTTTATTTTATTTCATCAAAGTCCAACAGTGACCAAAGTCACCCTTTACAGGATTGAATAGTAAACTAAATATAAATAGGTGAATATACAGTTACGATAAGTAAGAAGAACTAAATATTACTAACATTGGACAAAACTTTTTGACGAAAACACATAAGAGAATCACAGAAAATGTCAATAGGAAAATCAGTTTTACATAAAGAATTGTTTAACGGCATTAAATGTCCATTAATAGAGGTCAACCATAGTGACAAAAATACAATTATATTTTTAGTTTTTTTTTTACCATGAAGTTTTTTATAAAGTAGAGAAAGGTTTTGCAGTTGGAATTGTAGGACTATCTATAACAAAGAAAATATTTACTTGTAAAATAGTACATTTTGACAGTAAAATTTAAAATATGGCATATTCTGCCGTTTTCTTTTAGATTGGTTTGATCTGTATCTTTGCTTTTTCACTATCACGATTCGGGAAAAAAACGCATTGAATTTGATATGGAATCTGGGAGAATTGCAAAAATCCTGTATGATTTTATCCATGTAATTTTGACTAGAAAAGTTCATGTTACTACCATAGCTTTCTCGTCCTAATATTTTAGAAGCATATTCTTTCGTTACAGCTCAACATAGATATAGTATCTTTAACCATGGACCTATTAATAAGATTAATATTAATAATAATAAAAAATTAATAGGTCCATGCTTTAACGTTGGAAAATGGTGTCAGTAATACTGTTGGACTACCAATAATTGAACTTTAGGATAGAATCTGGAATGGATAATCTAATTCTATGTGCCATGTGTTCGTTGAGGTTTCGTCTATACGTTGTGACATACTAGGTTGCCCTTGGGTGAAGCTGCTAGCCTCTCCACAGTGTCTCCGGTCTCATCTCAGAATAACTTATACAACATCCATACCGTTAATATCTTCTGTTACTTCCCAGCACCAGCGGTTGGTTATATTTCAAACAATTGATACTAAAGGTGACACTGCAAAAAAATTAACAAAATAATAACATTGTATGAAATTCAATTATCAGTGGAAATAATTAAAATATTAAAAATATGACGATAGATTCATCAATCAATCATTCAACAGGGACTTATAAAGTGTCAATCCACGACAAAAAATGAGTGGCGCTATGACGTTGGCATCAAAGCGCATAATGAGATCGATACTGTACTCAGATGAACTGTACTTTGAATCAAGGAATTAAACAGGACTGCAGTTTCAGAATGTGATAGGTTTCAGTCGTCGCTGCGTTCCCTCATTTGAACCATCACTGATGATTAAGTTAAGAATGAATGTTGACACCAACCTTCGTATATAGTTGTTGATTTGTTTAATAGGTATTGCTCCGTTCGTTGAGGTTCTACCACTTTCTTTGTTCCTGGTCCCAGAATCGTCAACAAAACCGGTAGGACAAACATTGCATGAAAGAAACCAAACGTCATCAACAGGAATATTGTTTTAAATGCATTGATAAATATTGTGGATGACGAAAGCAAAAGAAACATCGATGAACCAGAGACAACAAAGTATATCTGTACGATTGGCATCCCCATCGTACTCAAGGCAGACAACGCACGCTGATTGGATGTTTCTGCGTCCGATAGAACATACGCATATGTCATGTGGGTCGAGAAATCAACGCTAAAGCCAATGCTCAATATTATGCATATCATAGAGAATATGTCAAGGTTTACGCCCCAAAAAGTCATATAACCTACGACCCCGGTTTCTATTGAGAAAACACTGAATGTGATCCAAATTGAAGATATTGGGTTTGGGATGAAGAGGAGTGTAAGAATGAACATACATATTGTTGCGATTAAACAAAGTTCTAGAGTGAAAGAAATAACATCTTCGCGTTGTTCGATTGCAATAAAAAATGGACTGAAGACAGTTATTTTTGTTGTAGGCGAATCAGCTATACTGCGCATGTCTCGCATTAGCTTGGAGTCATCGGAATACGTATACGCATTTTTAGTCATAATAAGAAACCTGGAATTAATAAATTTGCGGTCTCTGGACTTACTGAACACCAAGTCGTGCTTAAACTGTTCGCCGTCTGATGTCTTTAAAAAATCATTTTGCAGTTTGTCCATGAAAATAGCTTGCGTGACATTACAACTTCCAATCGAGCTAATCAGAAAGTTGCAATACGCTCTCAACCAGGAGACTGTAAACTCTGGTCCGCAAGAGTACACACTCGATTCAAACGACTGAGTGATTTTCTCAAAGTTATTTTGAACATCTCCTCGCCAATATTCCTGTTCTTCGGTCATTATGACGTACACAGGTGGGCCGTATTCTTCTAAATCAGACGTGTAGCTGTATGACATGTTGTTAGTCGCCTCATTCTCTTTCACAAGTATTGGTAGGTTAAAACAACCATATATTGCAAATACTTCATAGAAGACGATAATTAATATAATTATGTATTTACTGACAGGGTGTATTATAAATGGGGCGAGGTATGCTTGAATAAGCCACGAAATCAGAGGTTTAATCTCATACATAGTAAATTCTCGATCAAGGTGGACCCCACCTGCACAAAGGCATCGGTATGGAGCATTTGGCGATTTATCTTTTACGTGTGCGCAGCAATGGCTGTTCTCATTTTCTTGTTTGCCGGTATAGAAGAGGCATGCTCCAAAGAACGTTATTTGATATACATACGTGAAGAGTATTGAAAATCCCGCGCATAAGCAAGGTACCCGAATACACAGAAAGGGGTTGATTGCTCCTATCATATAGATAATGACGTTCGCAAAACTAGTGATTGCAATCGAAATTGCTGTGTCATTGTAGCATCGGCTTAAACGGTCTTCTGTTGTCAGCCTGGGATCTGTTTCGCGCCAGGAAGACAGTAGGATGAATGTGTTTTCAAGACCAATACCTATCGAAATAAAAAAACAAAACAAAAAAAAAACAAGTGTATTACTTTAAAATAGTTATGTTGTTTTTTGTAATAATATCATTGATAGAGCTTGGAACCTAACAATCCCGAATCCTAGTTTGTCGGTGTCGGATTGCCGACTCCTGCTTTGTCGAAACCGAATTCATCTATCGAATAAACCTGTTTTTTTACTGTTCTATCACAAGCAATCAAACGGAGCAATTCACTAATCACCGTGAGAAAAATAAGGGACGGTTTGGGAAATACAGCACAAGATACTTCCAAAGACCCACATACCGACAACTGCTGTACCTAACCTCGGAACACCACCACCACCCTTAGACAACTTGAAAAGTAAATTAAATTGACATTCCCTTCCTCTATTATTGTATTAATATAATTTTATCGTAATTTTTTTTTTATGTTTTTTTCTTAAGGATCTTTTTTTAGGAATCAATTTTATCGTAATTTTGTTTATTTGACTTTTTCATTGCTCATGACCGTATGGTCTTTTGTGATTTTCGTAATTATCTTTGAAATTTTTATATTGAATACATTTTGCATGTATATAGGCCCCCTTACTGTGTTGTGCTTAGTTTTGTGAATGTTATCTGTCTTGCTGAATTTGTTTAGATTGACGCAATTTAGTTCAATACTGCAATGTCAATTTTTTTTGTTTTTAATATTAAACCAGAATGAAATGAAAATAATGAGGTCATAAAAAGCGAAAAATGATGTATATCACGAATAATGACTGTTGGTTTGTTTTAATGAGAGTAAATGGCTTTTGACAAAGGCAGAGCAGGCCGCATTCAGAGGACGACATGCGGATTTTAATTTTTTTGCGGGTCATGTACAGTATATAGGGCCTATGCAGTTAGCGTGTGCCGAAGTGTTAATAGTCGAAGTTAAAGTCATTTACTTACCAATTGTTAAAAATACTACACAAATCGCAACAACATTTAGTTTTGCTTGAAAGAAGGAGACAATGCCAAATGCTGAAATGCAAGCAAGAATTGCCGATATCAATCCACACTGAGCTAAAAAGGGTTTACTGAGGACCCATTCTCTCCTCATACATGTCATCGAAGCAAATGTTGCAATGGCAAAAAAACTAATAATGATGTATGGTATGGTATTTTTCAACGTAGAGTAAAGTTGCTCGGAAAATGTCTGGGAAGTGTAGTACACGATGTTAATACTTTCAGATTCGTAGTTGCGTAAGACGGCGCTGATTTGTTTTTCCCACATGGAAGACAACGTACTATCGTCTACTGTATCCGATTTAAGGATGTACGCCAAGATAATTTCGCGCGCGGACTCCAGGTAATTTGTTCCGCTCCGCACAGTTACGCCACCTAGCGAATTTCCAAGAAAATACTGTACCCCATCAGAACGGAGTGTAAATGGATACGTAAGATTAGAGTTCGGAACAAAACTATTGTTACCGTAATATACTTCAACAAGTGGATTCAAGACGCAGGTACCATTCCATTTAGCACACACATCTACGAAACCAAATTCATCATTAACAATAGAATTCCTTATGAAATCATCAAGCTTCAACACTTCCATCAAAATTCCATCGTTGATTAAATTTTCCCCAGATGATGACGTAATTCTTATATTGCACCCCTTTTCTATAACTTTTGTCCCACGGTTCAGAAAATACTCTGAGTAGTTCGTAGGGAAATACAACTCTGTTTGATATTGTTCATGCACTGCCTTGGAATATAGCGGAGTGAACAATTTATCAACGTCGGTTTCAAACGTAGCAAAGAAGGCACCAAAACTGAGACAACCAGTTAGAATCAACGGGAATAGTATGTAGAGATGCGGCTTATTTGATATAGAATTACTGAGACAGTGTGATAATATGTTGAGCTCTCGGCGAATATGACTTGCAGCGTCCATGTTATAGAGTATTTTTCCATTGACCCTTCACTGCACAGCGCGTGACTAATTATATTTATCCCTCTACCAGCATATTTTTGTGCAGCACACCAAGTATTTGATTATGTAATGAGTTGAGATTTCGAGTCGAAAAATTATAGGTACATTTAACTTATGACTAGAAATAATTGAAAATATTTAAAATAATAACTTTTCTTTACCCATAGGCCTACTACACAGTGTATTAATGAATGCAAAAAACAGCCGGTAATACGGTATTTTAATCATACCATATTACTAATTATAATATGTTCTTGCAAACAAAGGATATTTTGTTTAATCATGAATATACCTACTATAATATTATTAGTTGCATATTATCTATCATTGAATTACATATTTTAATTCTATTCTGAGATCACCTTGTGTGTCCAAAACGCACGACAAGAACGCAAGAGTTGGCCAGCACTTGGCAAAGACGAGGGGGAACCATAATAAAAGAGATAGAGGGGGCTGTCGCTCTACAAAGTTGTTGTTTTTTTTCTCGCCACCCGAAACATCACAAGACGATACATGTAATATTATGATGGAAAAGAATGACATTATCGGCATTATAATACAGAGTGGCCTAATCGATAACATATTTGATGACATGTAATATACCGGCTGTTGTCTTCCGATGAAAAGCATTTCCCTTAAGAATCGAAGTCATTTAAGATTCACTAAACGAAGGTAAACATTATCTGGTATACTACAATGCATTGAAACGCCTGATTTTATTGGTTGTTTCTCTTTTCCGTGAACCCGATATAGGCCTAGGGCCTAGCTAGCCTAGGCGGTCACCGCCTAGGCAGGCGTCCCTAAGCCTAGGCTAGGCCGGAGAACCCTGGGCCTAGGTAGGCTAATGTGGTAGGCTAGAATAGCTTTTTATTAGAGGGTAGCAGTCGTTGAGTTACAGTACTAGACCTAGGCTAGGCCTAGTTTAGGACAGGGCTAATCACCCTAGCCTAATTTAACCTACTACTCCTAAGCCCAGGTCTAGCCTAGACAGATTTGTTGGCCTAGCCTAGGCCCTACACTTACTTTGTAATAGGCCTGCGGCCTATTTACAAAGTAAGTATTTACAAAGTAAGTATTTACAAAGTAAGAGCAAAATGACTGTTCGCCTGCTTGCCCCTGTGCAAAAAGTTGGGCCTAGCCTTTCTAGGCCTAGAAATCAAACAGCACATTTTGACAATACATTTCAATTTTTGTGATGCCATCCATTTTGGCTGTGAACCAGTATACAGTAGTAGTATCACACCTGTGGCCATTCTGTGTCAGATCACCCAATGTTAAACACCCCACCGACTCGGATTTTAACGAAAATTGGAAAGAATGATTATTCGCCAGAGAAAAGCTTAAATTTCAAATATTAATATGAGCCGTCAAAAATTAAGAAAAAAAGCAAAAAACCATGAAAATGGGCGCAGCCGCTCATTTTCGAACAGTCATAACATGAAAACTTCTAGGCCAATTTTGATATAGTAAATATCATTGAAAAGGAGATGCTCTGAGGATTCCATGTTGTCAGAATTGCAATATGATGAGGTTAATACTGGATGACCTTTTGCCCTGTGTTTTCACCCCCTGATTTTTCTAATTTTATTTTTTTTTTAATCTTTGAAGTGTTGCCTATATATTAAAAGCTAAGATATGTTTTTCCCCATTACTTGATAATATGCAATTGTATGTAAGTTGGTTAAAAATAACAAGGGTCACCCTATATAAATCTAATGTATAAAAAAAATGATATGTTTGATTACACAATGTCCAGTGAGAACCTCTTTAGAAACAAGCATAAATGCTTGAAATGAAATGTCTTTATTGTTTATAAATTTGTTTTTCTGACATATCTAATGTCTGATGCTGAGAATTTCAAAATAAATGTAATCAAATTTTGCCATGCCTCAGTGTTATAGGCCTACGGTATAGTAAAGTCTTTATGAGTATTCCTGACACATCAAGGGTGCAAGTGGTCATTGTTACAATGATTACTGAAAGAAAAAAATTTGACTACCTATTTTTGTTATGCTAAAATGCGTGTTTTGTACTCTGAATCGTAACGCAAAAACAATTTATAAAATTTAAAATATGACCACTATACTAGAATTTGTAAGTATTTTTTACACCACTAATCAATTCCTTGGCCCTAAAAAAAATATATATAGACCATAATAGTACTTCAGATAAAAAGGTTATGACCTTTTTCACATATTTTAACTGCCAAAGAGGGGTAATTTTTCCCCTGCCCTCTCAAATTAATTTTTTGGCCCGCACTGTCCCATTTTCCAACCGATTTTCTTAAAAAAGATTTCAAAATGCTCAGAACAATGGACTGCTTCATTTTAAGACTTGTACATTTGGTATTTGATAATCGCCCATTTATAGCCCACCACTACTAGTTGTATCTCACAATATTCTTCAAACCTGCTATTTTTAACGGTTTATTACATTAAAATGGGGCAAAACATGTCCTGGCTTTTACTATCATTTTATAAGGAACATTTCTGAAATCCCAAAATACAGGGTTTTTACATCATATTTTTTGTTCCATAAGGTCATGTCAAAGGTCAAATTAAAAGCAAAATGGAAATTTGAATTTAAATTCATTGTACTGCAATTCTAATTACAGATTTGGAATCCTTGTCCAATCTCCTTTAATATGTTAGTTGTTTCATGAAAATCGGACTAGTACATTTTTATTTATTTGCATTTAAAAAATGGCGGTCACCCGTAATTTTGCCATTTTTAGTCATTTTCGGCAATTTTTGATCATCCATAACTTATGATCTGTTGGTCCGATTGTGAAAAAAATTGAAATTTTGCTTTTTCTTACCCAAATGAATCTACAAATCAAAATCAGAGATGGCGAGGTATAAATCTCTTTTTTTTTGGCGGATCCAGTAGGGGGAGCATGGGGGAATGTTCCCTGTTTTGCCCCTAAATTTTAAAAATTTTAAAGCATAATGTTATGTGCTACTCACTTATCTATTCTGAAACTGTTGTGCCCACCCCCCTCTCCCACATTTAATAAATTCTGGATCCGTCCCTGTTTTTCAGAGTTGTAGTTATTAGAATGTGTTTTTAGTTTCTTTTTGTTAACCTGTGGAAAATTTTAATCTAATATTTTTGTTGACAAATCTTTTCAGTCATATCAGTTGCCCATTTTATTATTTTGCTTATTATATGTATTATTATATTTACTTCCTCTATAAAAAAATATATATAGGTACATAAACAACTTTATTATATGTATTATATTTATTTCCTCCATAAAAAATATATATATGTAACCGGAATTTCTATGTTAAGTAGTCACTCGATGAAAATTGTTGTGCCTCTTTAATTAGTCTAACATCAAGCGGAAATGCTATACTGTATCAAGCGTGCATTTCGATACTACGAGTATGTATTATATCAAGTATAATTATATTTTTAACAACAATAATAAAACGGGTTGTCACGATACATATATTATATAATATATATGCATAGGCCTAGCTATATACTATAATAAATAACGATAAAGTAAGACATACCTAAGAGCTACTGTACTATCCTAGGCGAAAGAAAAACCAAGTAAAGTTTAGATTGGACAAAGCAAAAGTAAGTTCTAAAGAATTGGCACGTTCCTTAGGAATGCGTCACAGCGCACGCGCCATCTCTACAGCAATGGACACGCACATTCAACATAATATAGAGGGCACGTACTGAGTTAATGTGCTTATGTTACATACATATAAACAACTTTACAAAATTAAAACATTAAAATTGAAAGAAAAAGAAAATTCATTGTTCACAAGGAGATACGGATTGCTGGTGAGTTCCTGTTCAATAAATGTTTGGAATCCACAAGCACTCATCAGCAAAATGAATAATCATGCAACAATTAAAAAGTTATATGAATGATTTCTTAACATTAAAGTATATTTAAAGTGTTACTAATATAAACTGCTAACAAATTAATTAGATTTTTGATAGAAATAAGATTATAGAAGATAACTTAAGTGAATCTCTCCAACTGATACATGTAAATATGTAGCCTATGATTTCATTGACTGAATTAATGACCAAATATAAAATATATAAAATTCCTTAATCATATAAGATGTTTGTATTGTTTTTATAAAATCAAGTTTATCCCTATTAGGATCTAAGCTGATACTCGCTAGGAATTTTTTTTTTTTTTTAAGGTATTGCATAATACATTGTACAAGATGAATTTAGGCGAGACTTTTTGTAAATAAAATTTTGTTTTCTTACTCAGCAAATAGTTTTGCCAAAATCATCCAGACTGCAGAGAAAGAAAAATAAAGTTAAAAATTTAAAAAAAATAAGAAAAAATAAAGTTTTATTGGTGTATGTAAAATAAGATGGTTAAATGCTTCAAATTTATATAATTATAAAGAAATATACATACCTTATCTTTGGAGATTTTTACGGTAGCAGAGGGCGTAATCAAAATAAAGAAAAACTTTTTTTCCCTGAAATTTCCACTTTTTTTTTATGGCGGTGGGTGTGCTAATAAAATTTTTATTCGAAATCATCAATATTTACAGTCGGCGGGTTAGCTAAACAGGGTATTAAAATGTCTCGCCTTACACACATTATATTACATAAAAACTTTGGTATAGGGAAATACCTCTATCTATATTAAAGATAATTATAATATTTTGAAGAAAAACTTAACTGATTGAATTATACAGTAGAAAAATTACAGTAGGTACTAGTAAGTTAATTTCTGATATTTATTTATTTTGTGACACTGACAGTTTAGAATCAATGTGTAGAGTGTATAAGATTGCAATGTGGGTCAAGATATTGGTTTAAAAAATGTTGCACAAATACTCTATGAACAAATTAAATTCAACATTATTATAAAGTAATAATACAGTATTGATAATGATATCAATGTATATTATTAATCATGATTATTTATCCTCATTAATGATTGGCTAACCTGCTGACTGACTACTATATTGACGTAATCGTTTCATTCAAATGGGCGAGATTGATCGTTATCCAATCAGAGACATGCCGGCTCGCAATTAAATGTAACCTACCTAATATTGTTCTTGATTTTTTACAGTTTGAATCAAGATGGCAGTTAGTGTTGTAAGCTCCGATCTAGCCCTTGATCCTCTCATAAATTGCAAGCTATGCATGCTGGAGCAACCAGTGAAGGCAATGCATACCATGCACCAGTGTAGCTGTATCTATTGTAAAAAGGTAAGCTTGCCCAGAGAACCTACATAGTTTTTAACTACTACATGCTTCTTCGATATTATGGGTCCTTGAGCAATTATTATGATCATTGTCATTAATTTTTCTCACAATTTTTTTCACATATTTATAGCATTAATTTTTAAACTGTAAATATTATGAGATATAAAACAGCATTATGAGGTAGTGTACTTTGACATGAGTAAAAACTTGCATAGCTACAGTATATAGAAATAACTAATATTTGAGTGTACAGTAATTGAGAAAGTAACAGGATTCAAACTTAGGAATTTTACACTTACACAAAAGTCAGAGTGATTTTCAGTTTTACCTTGCCTCAGCTTTATTGTTGAACCAGTCAATCTTTAGACAAAATTATAATAAACATAGAACTAATTGCAACAGAAATATTTTGCGGAATCTGTTCGTGAAATATACACATAACATACTAATAGTCCGAAAAAATCCTGTCAGAACATTATTAATTTTAAGGATAAACGGTTTATGGCACAAATGCTGTGTTAGAGCATATAAAAGCCTGCTGTTGCCAAGGTGTTGCTATGGAAAAGTGGCCGTCCTAAATAATTGTTAGCTGGCTAACCCCTTGCTCTAAGCATTATGTAGAATTAAAAAATGATTTTTGTGTGTGTTTCTATTCATTAAGTTACAATTCTGTTTTCACTGTATTTTCACTGTTGAGTATAACTAGTTCATTTATATTCTGTGTTATGTCTAGGTAGAAATATATCAATATAAATAATATAACCACAGTCACAATTACTTTCATTAACATGCAAGAGATTTTCTAATATTTAAAAACAACACCCATTGTATTTCTTTCGGGCATGGATTGTTGATAAAGTAAGGCGTGGATTGTTAATAAACTACTGTAATCATTTTTTTATTGAGCCTTTTGAGATTTAATTTACAACTGATAAAAATTTAGCAAGCATAATGTAGAATTAAAAATTATTTTTGTGTGTTTTGTGTTCATCAATTTTTACTTTTCTGTTTTCGTTGCGTATTCACCATTTTGTAAGGGTGGGCGTTGCGAGAACCTCCTAGCGATTGCCCCTTAAGAGCCAGGCGTGGGTGTCTGTGAGCATAATTAGTTCATTTATATTCTGTGTTATGTCTGGGTAAATGTACAGGTATATTAATATAAATGATACAATGATTAGAATACAGTCACAAATCATTCAAGGGATTTTCTACTATTACTGTACAACATATATTATCTTAATGTTGGGCATGGATTGTTGATAAAATAAGGTGTGGATTGTTGAAAAACTACTGTAATCATTTTTTTTTTATTGAGCCTTTTCATATTTAATTTACAACTGAATAACATTTAGGTCTACATTAAGGAGAGATAAGCTAAATTCTTATCGAAAGACATGACTATTTTATAATGTTGGTTCTGTATAGTTTTGAAAACATTTTATCTTAATGGCTTTTATTGTTGTTGATGACATGCTTGTTAATAATTATGTGGTGTGGTACCTCTTCTAAGAGAGTGTTTTCCATACCAATTCACAAAATCGGGCAAACAGATAGGTGGTAAAATTAATAGTAAAGTAAAAGTAAATCCTTACCAAGCAGGTCAAGCTCATAAGGCTGGCTGGAGACTCTTCCATCGCAGTTACTCCCAAAAAAATTACTGGTACCCATTAATACAAGTGAATACAAGTGAATACAAGTGAATAGACTACTGTAAACCAGAGTAGATGAAAGTGTATACTCAAGCAAGCAAAAGGCAAATAATTGGAAACCCCAACCTAGAGATTAGGAATCCAAACCATTCCCATTGTACGAAAGTACTTCCACTGTAGTAAAATATGTGACACTTAAATCGTTTGTGTACTCTACATCTAATGTACGTTTCTTATAACAAAGATTTTAAACTATCTATGAAACATCACACCCTAACCTTAATTCATATTTTCTGTTTGCCTAATACTTTGTTAGCCTCAACATATTATACCTGATAAGTAACTAATAATGATATTGGTTAATTATAATAATATTCATAGATATATTTATTGTTGTATTACAGTGTTTAAAACAATACCTGAGTCTACTAATCAGTGAAGGGTCTGTTAGCATTGTCACTTGTCCAGATGCAGAATGTCCAGAGAAAGGAAAGATAGATGGTTCTGAGGTTAGATTTTCTTGATGTATTATTTCTGTTACAGTACAAATTTCATTATGTATTTAAATTCATATTCTGTATATTTTATCATGTTTTATCAAATTGTATTGTAAACTTATTATATTTTTAGTGTGTGTGTGTGTGTGTGTGTGTATATATAGTGTATAAAGGGTTTTTTTTCCTTTTACAGATACGTCTGCTAGTAAACATGAAGGACTTCGAGCGGTACAGACAACTGAAATTTGAAATAGGTAAGCATAAGAGAATTTTCAACAGAAAATTATCTATTAGTAGATTATAAAATTAGTTAATGAATTATTCATACAAAATACCTAACACTACGTATAATTTTTAATAGAGAAAAAGGTAGTGACATGGATTCAACTAGTCAATTAAATACTGACAAAACATTAAAGTCTGATTAAATGAATGTTAAGAGAGACTAGCTCAAGAGTGAGTTATGGGGCATTTCATTCATCTAATTTAAACTTAACTATAGTGCATTTTGTTGGCTGCTTAAGTTTTTTTTTTTTTTTTTTTTTTTTTAGGGTCAGCTTTTAGGCCTAGCATTTGCTTGTAGACCAAAGACATCCTATTTTAACTGATTATACTTATTTCACTAATTATACTACTAATTGTAATGTAGCCAAATCAATGTAATAGTAAGTCAGAATTTGGCAATATATTCACAAATCATAGATATATATTTTAGATTTTATCTAATATTAGTTAGGTATACAAAACATATTTTTCTTTTATGTCAGCTCTTGATGACTGCTTGGGGCCCCTTGACAGACGAAAAATTGCTTCAATTAACCACTATACTTCCTATTGCTACTCCACTGGTTACAGCAAACCTGAGGAGTACTCTAAGTACCATAGATGATGAATGTCTGATATAACATAGTAGGATAGCATGATTGGATTTACTTGACTGCCATTACCCTGAGTAATCATTTGATTTGTCTGCTTTGTATGATATCCGAGTTTTTGAAATCACCAGATGTTTTCCATGCCTTCATAAATCATGTTTGTAAAGGTTCTTCTGATGTCACTTATGGATGAATATTGATTAAATGAACAGAGTTACCAAAAAAATCATGCTTGGATTTATTGAATTATTTAACAGCATCCATTTATTGTAATTCTAAAACAGATTAAAATTTACAAAAATTATTCTTTAATGCCCTGTTAAGAATGTTTTTTATTATACATAAACTAAGTGACAGGATCCTTGATTGAATGTTTATGAGGCCAAGTAAAAAAAAAAAGTAGTTTCTCATCCTATATTTTGAAAATGAGAGAATGAGGGCACATTTTCTTTCTTCTTTTTTTTGACACCAAAATGTCAAATCCAAAATGGGAAACAGTTACTTCTTCCTCATTTTTACCAAGTATAGATACATTGAATGCAAATAGAAGAAGCACTAGACGTTAGTCATACCATATGTATATTGAGGTTATAATAGCTCAACTGAAATTCTCACTAGGAAGTGCTTGAACATTTCCCCAACCACAAAAGAAAGAGAGGAATTTTATTGATGTGAGTCAGCCAGATTTTCGTACATTTTGTTAAATAAAGGAAATGAAAAAAAAACAATTTGGCGAGGCAGAGAAAATGGATGCTCAAGGGGGACGAGAATCTAGTAGTTTTATTATTTGGCCTTAAATGACTTGATTAATTAATTTGTCATTAAAGATGCATTCACACCAAATCCAAATTTCTGGATCAAAGACCCTACTGAATCAATCAAACAAATCAAACCAGTATATAAGAATGGGGATGTTGTTTTTAATGTGTTTGGCTGTTTACTGTTGCAACTTTTATATTGCGCCCATGATCATTGGCTTGTGGTATACCAAATAACAATTATTATTATTGTTGTTAATACTGTACATTAGTTGAAACTTTCAACTGTGATAAAATTATAAAAATACCCTTGACCATCGAATTGCTCATATGGATGGATGGATTTATTTGGTGTAAGCACCAGGGATAACCCATAAAAAATTGAAGAAGACTTGTTTCCAGTGGTGTCCTTGGTCATTTAAAGGGAACAAATTAAGTTATCAACTAACTATTTATATAATAATAATTATCTATAATATTTTAATTAATAATATTGATATTATTATAGTTAATTATTTTTATTGTTGTTATTTCTAATATTATTAAATAATACTATATATAATTTATCGTATTGATATTTTGTAGAGGTTGATCTGGATCCACACCGTACCTGGTGCCCTGAGGTGGGCTGTGAGACCATTTGCCATGTCTGTACTGGAGATGCGCACAAGGCTAGATCAGTAACTTGTCCAACGGTAAGAGCAAGTTCATTTGCATCTTATTCAACGTCCCAGTTCTGTATTTTCCTAAGTTCACAGTTTTAAGTCATGAAGATTGTCAGATTAATTTGTTGATAAGTTCACAGAAGTATGGATGATGCAAGCATGTAAACAAATAAACAAAAATCTGAAGACAATATAGCTAGTGTGGTAGTTAAATCAAATAATTTGAGTCATATGCCTGTGTTTGCTTCTGATTGGTCAAAAGGACACTTATACGATAACAGATTGAAAGTTCATTTTTACGTCCCAGGCATATTAACATGACGATGTTCAAACATTACAAATATAATTATGCATGTACATATACCTTGCAGTGATGTCAAACCATTCAATATTACTGAGTGTCTCGGATCTAAAAATCTCATTACCAAGTGTAAGCCATCATATGTACAGTAGTCTTCTTACGTACCTAATCTTAAGGCACTTTATATCTAAATTAGATCATAAAAAACAATTGTTGATTGTTCTTTTTTATTGTTATGTTCTACAGTGTCACTTACAATTTTGTTCAGTATGCAAATCATCATGGCATGAAAACCAGACTTGCTCAGAATATGGTAATTATCTAAAATCCCAACCACACTCAAGTCTCAAAATTCGAGAAATTTTTAGGTAAGTATTTTTAGATAAATATAACTATATGTGGGTTGGTGGTATTATTGTATAAAGAATTACAATGCTTAATATTCCAAACATAAATTGCATCATTAAGGATTAAATGCCAACAAACTATATATTCACAATAAATTTTGTATACACAATAAACTATGAAGTCAGGTAGGGTACAACATTATGCGTATTCAATGACATTGTTTTGAATATAATAATTTATTGATAAAGAAATGAAGCCTATTTTTGTATTGCAGCACACTTTTATTTGGTAGCATTATATAGCACAAAATATTACCGATTTTTAAATTGTAGCTAAATTTTCAAACATTATTTCTAAGTATTCTTTCTGAAAAGTATCAGACATCATGCTATCGATGAGATACTATATTTGACAAATTTATTTCCTTGTAAAATTGAAGAGAATTGATTATCAAGTAAGTTATTAATTTTTTAATGAAAAATTTTATTTCTGGTAAATGCATATTAATTTTACAAATTAAAGTGATTCAAATATTTCAGTTGATAAATTATATACCATTTTATCGGGTCACAGCGCCACCGACTCCTCACAACTTTTCACTAGGGGACATCTCTCCAGAGCAACTCAGCTTGTTGTTCGCAATTTTTTTTATTGTTTTGGCATTTTGTTTTTAAAGACTAGCCTAGGCCTAGACTAAAGCTATGTTCACATCAAAGCCTGGATTCGGTCTGGTGCCCAGACAAAAAATCCTAAAAAATGGGTTCAGTCGTAAAGAATAGGACTGTTCACATCAATTTTGTATGATTTTCAATCCGGACTCCGGATCCGGACCGATGGATCTGAGAGCCATTTGTATAGTGAAATTGTACGTTTTTTTTCCCTTGGACCAATCAGCAGCAAGGTTGGTTGGTTTGAACCAATCGAACGCATATGCAGTTAACCCGAATAACTGTATTCCGTGCACAATGTGAACGCAGCATTCAAAAAACATATTTTTTGTTCGGGATCCGGGCTTGATGTGAACGTAGCTTAGCTCACTACTACAATATCGTGCACCAGTCACAGCACAGCTGGATACTCTTTTTGAAATGGAGTATAATCAATTATTGAATTATTATCTGAAAGCCAGCCTCCAGATAAAAAAATGTTGATGTGTTGCACAAATAAATATTCTAAAACACTGAAGGGTTGTTTGAAGATATGTTCTGGGATGGCTGTAAGATTCAAGTTATTGAAAGTGAAAAAACTGGGAGGAATACCTCAAAAGCTAAATGAAAATTAAATAGGATTAATTATTAAATGCTATAAATTATGAAATTTTTGTCTTATTTCTGAAACACATTATTCTAGCTTTTTGATATTTGAATAGAAATTTATTTTAGTAGAAACATTACAGTCAATAGGCTGACTGAAATTACTGTGTTTGCGATGCAATAATAAACCAAAATATAACAAAATTATAGCTTAATTTTGAAGAATTATACATGAAAAATTATCAGTAAATTTAAGCTTTATTTATATTGTCTTTTATTTTTGCAGCATTCCATTTGAAAATGAAATAGAATCGAACATCAAACGCTGTCCTATGTGCCACATTCCAATTGAGCGTGATGAGGGTTGCGCACAGATGATGTGCAAACGCTGTAAGCATGTGTTCTGCTGGTACTGTCTAGCTAACCTAGATGATGACTTTCTTCTGCGTCATTATGATCAAGGGCCTTGTAAGGATAAACTGGGCCACTCTAGGGCTTCGATCCTCTGGCATAGGACACAGGTATGGTGTTATGTACTATAATACTATATAGTGCTAATTAGCCTCCCCTGAAGCTCCGGGGAGAGGCTATTGTTTTTAACCATGTTCTTCATGTTGTCGTTATCATCGTTGTCTCTGCTGTTTTTGGTCATTCGTTTGTTACCACGAGGCAGTGGTGTATCTAGGGGGTGTGCGCAGGGGTGGAAATGTCCCCAAATACTCACTTCCCACCTGCACAGTCGCCTGTTAAAAAAAAAATATCATGCTCAAGTCACCTTATTTTGCAAGCTAGGCTCCCCTCCCTCACCATCATATATCCCCTACTTCATGTTTGCTTTCCCCCCCCCCCCACTCCCCCCCCCCCAATCAGCAACCCCCCTATATTAATATTAAAATTCTTAGATATGCCAATGAGAAGAAGACTTTGAAACATACTCCTTCCTCTTGGCCCAAATACCATCGTAATACCCATCCCAAACACAAATTCAAAATGCTTATACATTTTCAGAAAAGGAGTTCTTGTTACTGCAGTTAGCAAAAGTTATTGTCAAAGCTACTGACATTTCAATAGTGTTTTCATATACCAATTGCTGCCTGCCAGCAAATTTGATGATTTTTTTTTTTTTTTTGAATGTTGTATGCATCTATTTATTGTCATGGTTAAATATTTTGGCAATACCTACCTTGTATGCGCTTAGCTGGCTCTATATGGACAATTTAAAAGTAAAAATTTTTCATTTGGGAGAACACTGAACTCGTTTAATGTTTACCATGCTGTAAGTGGCGGATTTGTTTCTGCTGTTGTTTTGGTAAATAATAAAATAATTAAAAAATGATAATAAATAAATTCTTCTGTCAAGTTTATTAGCTAATGTTGACTTGTGTAGCAGCAAATAAAATCTTGAATGATAATAGAAACAGTAAATTATTTTTTTGGATGTGTTTTACAGGTGATTGGTGTCTTTGCTGGCTTTGGACTCTTAATTCTTCTCATGTCACCATTCCTAGTTTTAGCAGCTCCATGTATACTCTGCTGTAAGTGCAAGATATGTAAATGCTTCCAGGAAGACAATGATGCTTCATAGGAATGGCAACATATAAATGGAACAATTGATTGATTGATTGATTGATTGATTGATTGATTGATTGATTGATTGATTAAAGATGACATCCGAGTACCAGGATTACTGCTTCCTGCCTGAGTTCCATAGCAACAGGAAAATAAGTTTTTGAAATATTTTTTAAATTTTTCTTTTCAAGCAAGTTTTTCAGAATTAATATTATATATGCACATCTTTAGTAAGGTAATAGGTACAGTATAGATGTATTGCAAAGCTTTACCCTGCATATTTTCATCTTCTGCTTTTTGTATCAACATTTAAAAATAATTTATTTAAATATATTTTAGAGATTGCAGTGGTATTTGGAGTCCTAAATAGTATATAGTAGCTAGCTTGAATTTATGGGTAGGATACTTTATCTAATTTGACTCTTCACCCTAGAGTATGGGTAATTGTACTGTATCGATAGTTCTTGGTCTATGCTAAATGCATGAATAAGAATTTTTGTCTTCACTTTGAATAGACGGCTGCTCAACTACAGCATATTTGAGCATAATTGCAGTCTGCACAATCCCACATGCCAATTAGCTTTGCCTTTCGCGATAACACAGATTCCTTAATTTAGATGTAATTGCTACAATATGGTCTTCTTTTGACCAATCAGGTTAATGTATTTTTAACAAGGCACAAAAACATCAACAACTGTGTGTGATATTTCTTTCCTTGTTACATCTTCACAGACGGAGTACCTTAATTAAGAGAGATAGTAAGATAATAGTAAAAATTAAGCCATTTTGTTTTCTTATGCTACATCTCACCAAGCTAGTCTTCCTCTTTATATAATGTAAACCACTTTCATTTACTGTAGTACACAAAAACTTGGCATTGCCACCATACTCTGTTATGTTCTGTACTAGATACCATTGTCAAAATGGTTGAATTTAAGCCTGATAATCTACAAGGAGCAGAGGGGTTGGCACAGCGGTTGCAGTTGGGTTCTTATTTCTAAGGTCGGGAGTGTAAACAGTGGCGGATTCAGGGGGTGGGGGTGGGATAGGGCAGCCAGCCCGGTTAATCCCACCCCCCACTAAATTTTTCAAAATTAAATAAAAAAGAAAATTCTACTCTAAGAGTGCCATTTCCGGAAATCTAGTGCCATAATCATAAATTTTCCTAAGCCCCAACCATCTTGGGGCTGAGGGAGTATAGACCCTCCATTTGTCAAAGTCCCTCTTTCAGCCCCCCCCCCCCCCCCTATTTCAGATTCCTGGACCCTCTATTTCAGATTCCTGGATCTGCCACTGGTAAACCGTTTGATGTGCATTTTGTTTGTTCATTAGACAGGCACTACCTATGCTTGTCTCTCCCCACCAAGGAGTACAAATCTGGTAAGATGGTGTAACATTGAATGTTAATAGTCTGTGTAGATGAATTTGGAGGAAGTTACAACACTTGTCAGTGCCTTGTTTTCTTTGGTGAAAGGCACAGTATAAATTCCTATATTAGTTTTACTGTTATTGATCTATGACTGTTGCTGTTTCCAATTACTGTACTGTACATGGCAGTACAGTAAAGCCTTGTTTCCATAGAATTGCTACACAGTCGCTACAGCGTTTTCACTGCAATCCTTGCACTGCGTAACTGTCCCTGACGCAATCGGGAACGCTCCCCGAGTGAACTGACTAATCAGCGCCACTAAAAGAGTCGGTGATAGCATGTAGTGATTTTTATGGAAGGCTTAATGTGAAACGCAAACTACTGTACTTCAATTCAGTAATACACCAAAGAGATTTAAATTATAGATCATCGTACAGATGCTGTTTACACTAGTTTAACAATTGTGAAACATCCAGTTGTCAAAGCTGCCAACTTTAAAAAAAAAACTTAAATAACTATGCCATGAACAGTGCTTCTTAAAACCTTTAAAGTACTTATAAGCCTAATATGTATCCATGAGTGTAAATGTGGTTATTTTTTGGTATTGTTTACTAACAGTATATGCTAGGAGCATAATATTAGGGATCTCTGAAAAGTGGCAGTGCAGAAGCTAAACCATTAAAGGAAGACAGGCCACTTCAGAATGGGCTTGACCTGTTCAGTGGGGGACTTAATGTACCCCATGTACCCCGCTGGTGCCGCCACTGCTGATGATACATGGTGACACATGTTGAAATATTTGATACAAAAACCATGCTTCACCTCCCCTTGATATTTTTTACTGAATTCACAGTTGTATGTTGTGCATGTTATATGTGTGTGTATGTATTATGATGGATCTCCTGGTCCCCGGTTCAGCTGTCGTCGCTGCTCTACTTGCGTTTAAGCTGGAGAGCTGAAATGCAAGTTTCGAATGGGACGTTTAAGCCGTTGGTCCCGTGTACACGTTAGAGAATGCAGTATACTATTCGGAAAAGAGTAGGGGATTGTCTCCCAGTGTACTGCCCAATCACCACCAAAAGGACCCCACTGGAAATAAGTCTTCTTTAGACTTTCATGGGTTATCTTTGGGTGTTTACACCGAATAAATGCATGCATGCATGCATGCATCCATCCAATTAATTTATATATCCACTGATATAGTATTGAGATGTGATTTCCAGCTTCCCCGACTGCAAATTTATTGGTATTTTTAACTTTATATTTATTAGCTACAGATATATATATCCATGTTAGTTTAATGTGCTGTAATATATTCAAGACATTCCTATGAAATATATTTTACAAGAACAACAGAGTAGAACATATATAAATTAGCACTATTCTATATATCGTTAAATTTTGTTAGAGTGTAATAGCAAATCTGATGTTTAATTTCTTAAAAGCTAGTAGAGTAATTATAAAATTATTGTTTACTTCATCTTTGAAAAACTAGCATGTCTGCTGCTGCTAGGTTTCATATCCATCCACTAAATATAATTAATTAATTAATTTATCCATCAATCCTATAATCAACAATTTAAACAGAAATAGATATTAAACGCAGAAGAAAAAAATGTTAGAATTCCCTTTACCTTCACACTTATGCATCAATATTAATTCACAAAGCCTACTAACTACCACTTTCTGATTTATGAAATAGCTCACCTTGTCGCATTGGTGACAGAATATAATTATGACACCTGACTATGTGGAGGTATTTTGAGTATCACTGAAATATACAAGTATATTGTAAAGCATAATTGAGCCAATAAGGAGGCTTTAATGAGACGAATACAGTATTTGAGAGTAGCACTTATTAAAGATTATTACAGCATTAAAGTGGGAGAAGTGTTTATTAGATAATTTACAGTATATTCATTATAAATTGCTGGCCCGGGACACACACCCCCCCCCCCCTC